CCAAGTGGAAACTGTGCGGGAAAACCAACTGCCAATTGGTTTTTAAGTGTATTAAGTTCAGTGGGTTTTATAAAGTGTCAGCGTAGTCAAAGTTCTAAAGCCGCAAACACTACCCTAGAGAATTTCTTTTGCGGATGATGGTAAACAGTCCCAATTCCTGAACTCTAAACTGGCTAGCTTTAATGTGGTGTTGGCTGCAAAAATGAAATGAAATGAAATGAAAGTATGTTTATGCATTTTCCGACAAGGCAAAAACTTGTGAAAAGGTTATAAAAACACGTCCAGGTAATAACATAAGAAACTTTTATCTCGCCACAGTCGTGAGCAGTCGCCTTTACCTTTGCATTCGCTTTTACCTATACTCGTACCATTTCCGTTTCCGCTACGGTTGCTATTGCTGTTGCTACTACCAGAAGAGTCCTATCGACCTCGATGGCGGCACGTTCAGCTTATTTCTACAATTGCCTCATTAGAAACTGTAATGCATATCCGGCTTATAGCCAATTGCCACATAGCCGTACATTTTTAACAGTGTATCCATTCGCCTGGCCCCTACGTTTCCCCAATTCAATTGAGGAAAGTGTGACTTTTTGTTTCGAAAGTTAAATCCACTTCGAGTGGGGGAACTAGCATGATAGCAATTAACGATAAGCAGGGCAATCGGGTAGAATATATATATTATCTCTGCATTATTGTGCCGACAATACAGTATATGTACAGGCTTTAAGTCGTACCCCAGCGAACTACTTAAGATGATTGTATAAATTGCCCAGTATTCTGTTTTGTGTGGTTTTGCTGTTGTCATTAGCTAGATATCAGTTTGGTTTCTAGTTATAACTCAGATTTCAGATCTCTGGCAACATAAGCCACAAGTCAACGGGCGCTTGTTGACTTTCTGCTCTAGCACTCAATTGATTGAGGCAATTGATTGGGCACTTGCTGGTGGTTGGTGGCGAGTCGTGTGGATTGACGCCATTGATTGATATCAAATGGAGCAGACCCAGGCCAACTTGGACTCTTGGGGATTTGTGGTAGTGTGTTTTGCGCCGTTAGCCCCGTTAACACCAGACGCTGTGGTGTCAATTTATTTTCAACGTCAGGCGTCGTCCTAAGCTCCTATTTAGGCCCGTCGACAATGAAGACGACAACAGAGATTCCATTTGTGCAAATTGTAATTGTCAGGCCCAGGACAGGGCCCTGCGAAATCCCACATGTCAGCAAAAGGAACGCATTTTGTTTTCTGCTCGCATTTGAGATGTGCAACTTTCAACGGGTTTCAGTATCTATGTTAAACAGGTGACTTTACCCTCGGGATGATAAATGTTTTTCCGAGGCATACAATGGAGCCAGACCTAAACTTCGTTGAAAATCCTTGAAGAGTGGGATGGCGAGCCGTTGGGGCTAGGTAATTGAATATACATATTTGCAAAGTTATCTCATTTTATTCGCCACAGTTCTAAGAGCTGCGCGTAAACCCGTTTTAAATATGCAACAAAAAGTTGGCAAAGTTAGTTCAGAAAATAACTTTTGCAATGCCGCGTGCGGACTTTGTTGATAGCTGTTAGGGGGCTTGGGCTGTCCATGTCCGCCGGGGACTCTGTAGACGTCGTCGTTATTGTTTAACGAAATATAAAGCTGGTTTGGGGCTTGGGTTACCAAGTGCCAGTGTATCAGTCAGTTTAAAAGTTTCGCAACAAAGGCAATCCAATATAATTCAAATGATAATTGTTATGTCTTTTGTCATGAAAACAAAATATTCAGAACAAAAATTCCAGCTGAACAATGCGATGCAAGCAGGTGCAAAGCTAACAGATGACCAGATCCAGAAAAGTATCCAACGTCCAGGTAGGCAAACTTGATATTCAGCTGCCGTATTCAGCATATGCCTGCACATCATATCCCTTGGGGAAAAAAATTGTTTTTATATCTCTTCATTTTACCAAATATGAGCTCCAGTACATATCCTGCACCATACAAAAAATACTACTATAAACATACTGACAATCAATATCAAAGACAGTGGTAGGCAGCGTTGGACCACCAACCGGTGTCAGCTTCAATAAGAACCCCTACACACAATGAGTTTATTTGCAATTCCAGCGCAAATTTCCAAGCCACAGCGGGCTCAAAATGAAGATGCGTGCCACATAAACAATGGCACCAAAAAAAAAAAAAAAAACAAAAAACGAATTCAAAGAAAATACCCAAGAAGATTTCCAACACAAACAAACGTCAAGGATTTGTATACCCTATACACAAAGGTTGATCATTTTAGCACTTCAGGTCAGTTTTTAGGTTCTCAGTGTGTTTGAACCTAGATATATAATAATTAAAAACTTAAGCTAAATTTGTTTAGCATCATAATGCACACATCCCATGGAGAATATGTTATAGTCGAGCATTCTGGTTGGCAGCCCTCTAAGGTGCCTTTACTAGCTTTATGGCAAAGGGACAACCAGCTTCGTTCGGCAATTCGAAGCTCCGGTGCAAATTTACGCTCCACAAGACAGCTGCGACCGCTTCAGACGCCCCTTTTCTGCTGTGCGCGTGTCGATGGGTTTTCAATAGGCGATACGAAAACCACTGCACCGAATGTCACGACGACGTTTCCGAAGCTGATGCCATTTTGCATATGGGAATAACGCGCATACGCCATGTTGGCTATAATAATTCGAGGAACTAATGAACCGCACAGCGTCTTGTGCGTTGCCACTTTCGGTTGCGGGGAGAGTGATTGGGTGGTTGCGTGGTTCATGGTGCGCCTCTGGTTGCCCTGCTCTATGTACCTGCTTTTGTTTACGTCTACGTTTACGTTTGCTTTTGGTATTGCTTTTTGCACTGCTTTTGCCACTGTTTTTGCTTTTCCCAATGACACACGCACATACAATCTTACTACTGAATGCATGTGTGTGCGTGTGTGCGTGTATCTGTGCGAGGGTGTCGGTAAGTGCACAAGCAGTGTCCCACGGCAGCTTCGTATGCAAACATATTTATGTGGCTACGTGCTGCTGCATATCTTTTCCAAATTTTACATTTCACCGGGACAACTGGCAACCAGTGAAAATATTTCCCTTGCTTTATTTGCAAGCTCTCCAGCTCCCTTCCCATTTGATGCTCATCTGCATACACCCAGCACCTACAACACGCACACAAGAAGCCAGAAAAGTGGCAGGACGCAGGGTGTATGACAAATAACTTTTGACACATGATGCCACAATATCCACCAAGATTTCTATTGTATTATATGCTGAAATGCAATAAGGGCGAAAATTGAGAAATATTCGACAAGAGATACTGAGATCTATCCAGTATTATTTTAAAACAATTTTATAATCAAGAATTGCTGAGACATGTTCAAAATGTGTGAGGTTGTCGGGAAAACCTGCGAAGGATACATTAAGTAAAATATTTTGAAACAAAAATAATGTAACATGTATGCTAAATAGGTGCCTGAGCATATGCCTTAGATCTGAGATTCTTTGGAAGCGGCGCAACATTCAAAAGATTTATACGCTCAAAGTGGATTTTAACATAAATCAGATAGCTCTTAAGGAACACGAAGTACACTTACCTTCCCGAAAGTAAAATAGATGATCTCAACACCCCTCGCAACTAAATTGTTTGCTTACATTTAGCTTGAAAAAAGGGAATTACTCTCAATAGTTGGTTGCCTCCAGGCAAGATGGGCCACTTTTAAATCATAAAATATTTATGCTCCCCTCCGGGCGCTTCTGTAATTCTACTTAGTTTACGACCGTCCATAAATTGAGTGGGCATAAAATACTTACACCGAAACACATTTAATCGAAATCTGTACAGCAGCCCTAATGGACAGGCAAGCGACGGCTGTTCAGTCCAACTCCTTCTGTAAGGCCTGGCAGTTAATTCTGTTCAAGGACATACCACTTTCAAGGACATGTTTGCCCGTGTGGCGCTGAACTTGAATGCCATATCAATTACCCGGCACGTGTCCTGTCAGACAAACAACGTTAGACAACACTGTGTCTGATCTAATGGCTTTCATATTTCTGTTAAGTTGATTGTAACGCCATAAAAATATATGGTTACACTAACCCGAGGTGTCTGAGCAGACAACCAAAAGCTAAATGCGAGTGGTACAAAACTCTGATAACATATTAATTTTTATGTACGTAAAGCAATAACAATGAACGATTATATTTGATTTAAAAAGAAATCCAAAAGCTAGAAAATGTGTTCGCCACACACTTAATAGTTGTTTGGCCAGAATGAGGATGGACGGCTAGACAATTATAGATGTGTATGTGTATACCAAAAGTCTACACGAACTTATTATTAACCCTATAACCCAACCAATGCCATACTCATAATATGCTACCGAATTGTCAATATTTCAATGACTTACCGTACAAAATTTAAATCAATTGGCTGCGTGTAAATTACAAACAAAACCTGATTTTCTCACAATAGCATGAGAGAAGAAGTCGAACATTAACTAAGACGCTTCTTAATAATGATTTAAATAACTTCTTAAATAAGAATTAACATTTCCATGCTCGGCATTAAATTAACGCAAAGTTCAGTTAAAACCCCCAGATAAAAATATGCTTAGTGATTGTGGAATTAATTCGAGTGGTTAAGCCGGTTTCTAACCTTGAAGCCAAAAAAAAATATTTAATATAAAACAGAAACGCGTGGATGCTCTAGAATATTCACTTTCATGGAAATATATGTATCGACTATTTCCTCGAGTAGCCCGTCTGGCATCTAAGATTTATTCACATTTCATACTTATGTTCGTTCTTTAATTTCAATTTCATGACTTTGAACAAAAAAATCAATCAGCAAGTCTGAGTGAGTTTTCAAAGCGAAGATTTAATGCCTTCTTCTTCGTATTTTTTTATGTGACTATTTCGTCTTCTCGCTGAAACTGGTTTTAATGCTAATTGGTAGCACAGAACCACCCATTGTCAATAGGAGCAATGCGCGGACTAGTATCCAATCACTTCCGCACCAAGCAAAAATCAGACTGTTCTCAAAGATTTAAAATGTATTCTAATTATCGCCAATGAAACGATTAGAGTTGAGTATCAATTAATAGATAAACATTCGATAACTGCGCTTAACTTATATACTAAATATACCTACTACATATACAGCTGCGAGTATGTACATTCGAGTATATACTAAGACATTTAGTATCGAGAGGCGGGCAAGTAATAGGCGTTGGCGGTGCTAGAGATGGTACTGGGTGTGGGGGTCTGGTACTCGTATCCCTGGGTGGTGGGTGAGGGTGTCTGATAGTTGTATCCGGGGGTACTTCCCGTTGTAGACTCCACTGTGCCCTCGGTGGTGCTCTGCGTGGGGATTAGTGGCGTTGACGTTGACGTTGTAATTGGCTTGAGGGGATGTACTGTAGGCTTCGGCGTCGCAATGTCGTCGTCTGTTGTTGTTGTGTACACAGATTGAGTGCTGGAGCTAACTTCCGGAATATAATCTGTGTTTACCTCTGTGGTTTGCTGGGTCACTGGCTTCTCCGTTGTTGATGTGGAGCCCGATGTAAATGTGATTTGCTTCTGGATGCCAAATCCGCCGAAGGATGACTTGGCTTGCAGAAAACTACTAAGTAGCTGAATCTTCGTCGATATCAGATTAGAGATCAACTGAGTGTTGGCGGGTGCCACAGATGCAGTGGATCTGACGGTGCCACTGGAGTAGCCTATGACAGAAAGGTTAATATTTCTATTAACTGCTCCTGCACTCTAAATATTTGGGTTCTCCTAAATTTACCATTAATTGGCGCAAAAACCTTTACGAAGAACGGCTTTGCCTCCGCCACGGTGATCGCACTGCAAATAAGCAGCGCCCAAATCGGAATTGTTCTCAGCATGTTGATGATGACAGCGTCCACGTTATAACTAACCGACCGCCGCGTGTAGCCGCTCACTTTTATACCCAGGGGCAGTCGAACCGTTTTTTTTGTTTTGTTTAGTTTTTTGTTAGTTTATGATCAATGTGTGATTTGCTTTAGACACTTTGTGTCTGGCGCGCTCAAGTGGCTGACAAATATGATGCGAATTCTGATCTGTCCCTGAATGGCGAGTCTATTCAGTGGGTATCATCAGGCAGTCATCTCTCGGAGAATCTGAAACGATTTCATACTTATAATACTATAACGATAACTTAGAGCATGCAAATTTCGTTTAATGGAATCTTTGCACATTCGATTTCGTGCTTTTTATATCATATTTGGCCTTCCTGTTTGCATCCACTAGTGACAAGCAAGCATTCTTATAATTGGGTTAGTTGTGCTGACTCAGCACAAAATGAACTCTAAATATTTCAAAGGAAATATGCTACATATATATTGCTAGCCTTTGAAAAAAGAGCTCGACATTAAAGCTGTAGTAAGTTGATTTATTAAAGCTACACAAATTATCTGTCATTGAATTATAGTGCTATGAAATTTCCGTAAGGCAAAAAATAACTGGAATACTGTTGAGAGAATTCAATTATTTCGAGATTTAAGGCACACTTAAGACATATTTTTGGCTCGTCTTTTGGGCTAAAGGATTAATACAATTTGGATCGTGACACAAAGCCCCACCCCACACTATACATATTCGTAAACTTACTTATGAGTTTTGACGCTGGGAATTCGTACATAAATTGTAGTTTTCTACTTTATGCCAGCCGAATGTTTGCGTTTGTGCTCATCCCGATGAGCTGTCCATAAATCGTTACATCATAATCTCTTGCCCATTCTCACTGGCTCGCTGCCGCTATGCTTCTCTCTCAATTTGGCTGTGGTAGCACTCGTAAAATATTTAAAGTATTGCCAAACAGTTTTACCAACTACCATTCGCGAACGTGTTGGGGTCTGTCTGTATGCATGCATACATGATTTGAGCACTATGTATATATTTATTGGGCAGCGCTTGCTGAGCTACACAGGAATTATATGTTTGCATTCATTTATGCAAACAAAACTGGGCATACAGAGTGTATAGCAGTAAATTTTTATAGGCAACACTTTGGATCGTAAAGAAAAGCGATGGCCACAGCATTTGCCGCTGGGGCAGCACGATGGGGCATTTAATAATTTAACCACGACTATTTAGTTTCCATTTCCGCAAAATGCTTTCGTGTTAACGCCTCGAATGCAATAAATAAGCCGGTGTGGTCAATGTTAACCACTATTCGCCCGCAACAAGGCCGGGATCAAGCCAGGTCAAAGTGTTACGTGCCGCATGATATATCCCCACATGCCTGTATACATACGTATATACAAATATATGCTATGCATGAGTGTAGGCATTTGTGCTACAGCAAAAACCAAATCCCTTAATGTTAACCCATAAATATTTCATTTTATTACTCAGCCTCAAACAAGGGTTACGCTCGCTTGTGCTTGAGCGACGCGGCATCAAAAAATGTTTGGCATAAATTATCAGACTTTCATGGTAGGAACTGGGCCGGGACGATGCCAGCATTAGGCATAGAGCTTAGAATTTGTGGGTAAGCGAGGATCCATTCGTTAAAATCATTGCAAAATACGAGCATGTATAGGTTTTGTGCACTCACACATCATTGGCAGTCGCTTGACTCTGATTTCATTCAATTTAAAAGCCAATCTCGGCCAGAGGTTCGCTAATACGTATATAGTATATACCCAGCACCAAGAACTGAGGCTATGATAAATGATTAATCATTGTTTGTTCCCAGACAGGTTTGTTCTATGTTTTTTAATTATGGAAAATACAAAAGGGTCGCCCATAAAGCCAGTTTTCAACGCAATATAAATCTATGATTATCTTAATGCAGACATCAGCGGATAGACAAACAATTTACATACATCATTGAAAATTGTTGCTGACCTCCTATTTGCCTAATTTAATTATCCAGCAAATTTGGATACATATTGACAAAACTTATATGTATGTAATGTGCAAAACTGACTGCCCGTTTTATTCAAAACAAATCAATTGAAATTTGCATTTTCCCTAATTGACCAAGTGACCAAGGTGCAGGTCCTGACCACTTCTGTGATAAATTGTAAACAAAGATTATCAGTGCACAACTTTGGAGCGCTTGCTGAAAGTTGACAGACCGAAAATCAAATGTTGTTACAATTTAGCCAATATCGTAATGTAAGAGCGGCCAGCTTGGCCCTGGCAAGTTTTCCTATTCGTTTTGAGGACTGGCTGTGGCTACGTACTTATTGGAAAGTGCTATTCAATTGCCTTGTTAGAGCTCTAGTCCGGGCCAGGCCATAGACATGGCCAGCTGCCAGTAGAGTTGCCAGGCCTGCGACTGGCTGTGACAGTAGTGCTTAAGCTCCTAACTGCCCCCCTTTGCTTCAATGGGAGAAGCGCTTGAAGTATTTTTTACACAAAATATTCCATGCCATTTTTTGCTGGACTGGCCTCTGCGAAAAGGAAAGTGCGAAATTGGCACACCAAGCGACGGCACAAGGACTGATCTCCTCACGAGACTGGGTATTGTTACTCTTGGCGGCGGGTAGAGTCGCTCCCTCTGCGCCATTGTCGATGTGGATGTAGATTTAGTGGAAAAACGCCATAATGTAACAACTACAAACAAGAAAACAACAACAACAACAAAGTGCGTAAAAGTTTTAAGTGCTTTCGAACATTTTGACAAGTTGACTTTTTGTTGCTGTGAATGGGACCAATAATGTTCCAAAGTAAACTTATTTTCCTGACATAATCAATGAAAATAACGTGGACGGCCATCAGTTAAGGCGACGGTTCAAGTACGGAGGGCGCGTACCAGACAGAGTTCAAATAAATTTTTGAACTGTTTATTTTGGCCCTCTATAATTTTGTCCCAACTGGCAAAGGTGACATATAAATTAAATAAATATCTGCAATCACAAAATCGTTCGATTTCTGCATAACTGCACAAGCTAGAAACTATATTGAATACCTATGTGAACAGCATGAAGGGCTTTAGCTTACTACAAAAATATGCCACTCGTACATTGGCAATCGAAGCATGGTTTTGAAGTTTCCAAATTTCCATCTTCAACTTTTGAAAAGGTATACAGCTCTCGGTGCTGCTAGCCAAAGTACCCCTGGTGATTTTGCATATTTGCTCGCTTGAACGAGAAAGTCAAAAGTTGGGCTGCTCTTGCAGCTGCCATTGACGGCAGCAGAGGGCAACTGTAGCACGCGAATAGCAAACTCCACCTATACCACACCTTTACACAGACACACACACTCCCACACCTTCGGCTACACAAACATGTGGACGTCAGTACCAGTTGCTGCAATTTTGAACAAACAGACATGAAACTTGTGTGAAATGGCTTCCTATGGGAATGTTTACATCTGGAATGAATTTGCAAAGCCTGGCAGTTGCTTGCGTTTTCTGTCAGTCAACGAGTCAGCGTCAGTGTCAGCACGACAGACACAAATAGACAGACGGACAGACGGACAGACAAACAGACGGACAGACAGACGGAGGGACAGGTATTATCGTTGCTGCTTCCGACATTTCGTCTCGTTTATTTAATCGTGAGCCATTCGACAACTTGAAGGGTGCGATTAATTTAAACCTGCCAATTTCTAGCATTTCCCATATCCTGATATTAATATAGCCATGTTGCGCGGTGTCAGGCTTCCATCTCATTTCTTGTGCCCAAAAAGGGTGCTGGGCCAATGTCAAAAGCTGTCACCGTAACTTGAACCCACAGCACACAGCAGCCTCTGCAGATCCCACCAGCAATGTGTGAAAGATTTTATCACGTAGAAAACCTATTAGACGGCCGTGTGACCAGCGCAAAATCCATAAGACACATTTACATCTATACTCGGTCTTTTGAGGTTAAGGACTACCAATAGTTGGCGTGGCCGCAAGCCGTTTGAATTTCCATTACTGCGAATGGCCATAATATGGCAACTCATCTTGACGGTAATCGAGTGCCTCATAACCGTTACCATCAACATAATGATTGACATAACCATAACCCAAACCAAAAACGCGATGAGTTTCGACTCGACGAATAACCGTCAACCAATTTCAGTTGGCAGTTGGCCGTTAACCGGCCACAAAACGCGACTACAGTTTACCAATCCATGAGGATTGGTAACAGTTTTAAGAAATAAACTTCTTCTTCATCGTCTTCGATTGCCGCAATTGTTGGCGCCTCCCACCTGGTTCATTGACTAAAATAACAGACAGAACTGCAGTTTCTTTCAGTATTTTTCTTAATTTTTTTTTATTTTTATTTATTTGTTGTTTTTTTTTTTTTAGATTAATGAGGTCGCCAGCTTTTTAGCTTTTTTGACTAGCGTACGAACTAGAGGATCTTAATTTGAATTCTCACTCAAAAAACCAATCCCTTCTTCTTTCTTCCAAGTTATCGTAATTTGAAGTTATAATTATAATTATACTTATACTTAATTATACTTATCATTATATTCATTATAGTGTAGTCAGATTTCCAAATATTATTCCTTTTTGGGCTTCGGATTTCATTTATTCGAATAATAGACAAATTTATAACTGGAATATGTCGCATAAAAAAGTCGGATATTTCAATAGTGTATATTTGTAGACGAGTTAGGTGTGATTTGTGCTAAAATCAGGATGATTTCAGAATAAGGTGGGTTTTATAAATGCCGTGAAACACTTCCTAAATGTAAACAATGAAGTTTCATACAGACAATTTGCTGGTGGAATTTCAAAACACCTTTACTCCTACTCCTAGTAGCCTCATAAGGTAATTACTATACAAGATTCAACTTCCTGTCACTAATCAGTCAGCAAATCAATCTGTCAAGACAAACAATTATGAATTAACATAAATATATATTGTAATATTTGTTAAATTAATGTTATCGGCTTGATAGGGTTATTCAGTATATCAATAATAATGTAATACGATTAGCTTTTTGCATATTTAATGATGCCTATTAAATTGCCGTAGCCATAATTTCTTCTGACAGCCCTCCCCATTGATTAATACTCTTGGGAAGCACAGGCTTACTTACCCCCACACGCACACAGGCAGAGAAGTAAATACATATATTAGCATGAATATGCGCATATTCGTTTAACCGTTGCTAATGTGGTCTTGGTACCAATTCTGCACACCGATGACCAACAGTTGCACATTCGGACAAGTCCTTTTAGTAATATGGGCTGTTAAGCAATTTGAGTATGCTTGGGGGTAATTGGAGTGGGGCAGTTACAAGGACGTTGTCTAAGCAGTCACTCCTACCAGTAACAAACATAACAAACTAATTAGGTTGCTCGAATTATGGCACTACCGGCGGGAAGTCCCACTATACTATCCCACTTTGAAGCTGACAGTGCAAGGGGGCTTTTATCATCACTTGATGCGAGCTCGGGCTTTCTGCTGCATAATAATCAGCTGGAGAACTAAGCGCTTTGCCGGCAATGTAGCTGCTACGCGAACTGGCGCCCAGGTGCTAAGTGGCGCCCACAGAGTGGAGCAAAGGGATTCGCTGAGCACGTATTAAATCCAATGAGGTCGCATTTATTGGCCAAATTGATTCAATTCCGGGAACCTGGTGCGCCAACTCTACATCAGACACGGCAGAGAAAATATAATTAATTCGTTGATTTTGTTAAGCAGTCCCGTTGGCCGTTGGTGATAATCCCAGAACTGCAAAACACATTACTGCTGTGCTGTTTAGACATTGTTCCAACGTGACCAGTATGCACTTCAGTTGCGGCCGTAAAACACTTTATTTACAGCATTGAGTTTCCAGTTTCAAAAGCGAATTAGCTGTAATTAGCCCTAATTGCATTATGATGTGCTGGAGTAGGCAGAACTGCATTCAGCAGCGAAATGAGTAGGCCTCTAGTAGTGCAAATATGAAAATAAATGCACACTAATCATGCAATTTACTTAACAAGTATATTGCATTGTAGACATGATTATTGAAAG